GGTATCCGAGTCCCGGCTTGGCCCAGGCTTTAAGTGCATTTGGTTTCCAGTCCATACGCGCTCTCGCAGGTTTTCTCCAGGTACTCCAGTTTCCTCCTGCCTCTAAAACTGGACCCACTTCTGAACTCATAACTTAACTCAATAGGGACCCCATTGGAAATAAGTTGAAAAACTTTCATGGGCTATCCCTGGTATTACCTAATTGTGAGGTATTATTGAATACATTCAATCCAATCAAACTCCAGCAGGGAAAAGAATCTGAAGTCATTGAAAAAACTTTACTAATTTTGATCTTGGATATACAGCTACTGGCAAAAAAATTGGCAGTTTTGTTTTGTCGGCAATAAAACCAAGTGTCTCTTGCATTTCTCTAAAAACAGGGTAGAGCAGACAGACGACTAATTGGTAAAATTGATTTAATTTTTTAGAAAGGGAAAACAAAACCGGCTACTTTGTACAGCTAAGTGATAAATGCTTCACTGCCACTCTAACCACTCTAACCTAAGAAAGCCAAGGATAACTACAGGGTTGATTATGGAAAGAAAAGAAAAAAAAAGAAGAATCCCAGCATATGCCATGCACAAGAAATCTTACAAGAAGTGAGAAGATGACTACTGTATCCATGTAGAAACTACTTTAAGATCTTTGGTCATTCAATTGGATGCTGAAAAAGGAATAGCATGCAGTATTACCATGTGAATCCAGCTTGTGTGACGTCACTTTGGTTCAAACCACGCACATGCACTGCACACAGAGTTACGTGCATTGATCGCCATTGACAAGGAACCGCAAGTTAACGCGCAACTTCAGCGATCGTCCAATGGCAGCCTGCAAATCGGGGCGCGTCCGCCTTTGTGACGAAGTCACTTACAACCGGATAGTGTACTTGAACCACCACAAGTACAACGTTCAGAGCTGGCCTGCTACATTTACACCAAATGGCAGTTAAAAAAAAAATTGTTATTAAAAAACAAGGTAACTATGCAAACTACATATACTTGACTGTAAAAACTAGGCCGATGCTACAAATCTGATGAAATCGACAAACACTTAAACGGTGTGAAGAATGAACTCTAAACTAAGGAATCAGCTGCGGGAGTACTCTGTCCCTCTGACACTATAACGATTAAATAGTAACACAAAAATTCTCCCATAACAATACCTGGAGACACCCACCCCCCCCACCAAATCTGAGGTTTTAGCTAGTTACCATATAAACTGGTTGCTTCACCATCCTACAAATCACGATGCAGTGGCTATTCTACAGGTTCAGCAATGAGCCCAGTTCAGTGTTCCAACAGTGCATGCTTAGTACGAGGCTGTTTGGGAACAGTTTATACACTTTCCCACAATAGTCTGTCCTATCAGCGCAACCACACGCTGACTCGTGCGCCCTATGTTCCAGGAAGACCTTGGCTTTTTGAAATACTGAACTGGCTCATTGTAGAAGTTCACACCAAAGAGAAACATCTTAACTTGCGAAATTATTCTGAATAATATCCAAATGGGATGCCAGCTGTTTCAGTCTCAGACCCGAGACTTGATTTTCCTCCCTTCTTGTTCCAAGACCCCTTTCAAAATACGCAGTAACACAAACTCTACATACACATAAAAATCACTTTAGAAATCTAAATAAAAATATAATAGCACCATTGAGCAGTTTATAAAATGGAATCCTGATAGAGTACCTAAAAGGATACCAATAAGACATTTAAAAAGACCTTTCAATATTTTACTCTTTACAAGCCTGAAGAGGCTCATCGTGGTTAATCATACTGACTAGAAAAACTAAGTTTCATTTGAGCTCTTGAGATAAAAATGTTAGAAATCAATACGCACCACACTGGGCTTGGGTTATTCCTAGATTACGAGACAGTTAAGCTGGTTGTTGGACAAGCATAGCACGTAGGGCAGAGTATTCACTGCTGTTCTTCAAGTTAAAAGCCGATGTCAACTCCAGTTTGCATCTTTCAACCGTTTTTAGCCACAAAGGCATTTTTGAATCGGAATTTAGAACTATTTCACAGAGAATAGTTTAAAACTGGTTGATGGTTAGGTCTATCACTAGCAGGTAAGAAGGGGCCCGTCCTAATTACTTGTAAAAACCTTCATTCATTACTTTCTTATCCATTCAATGAATGTTAAAAATGGCTTCAAAAGTTCAAAAATGGCAAAGTTCGAAATAGGAAATCAAAGTTCCAATAAACCTACATTTTTTTATATTCTTCAAAATCGAGTGGTTACGCTAAAGGGTGTGGTTACTGACAATTACCCCATTTTGAATACGATAACCTGCCCATACATAAAGCTTTATTAAGCAAGAGAAATGATGAAGCTAGCTCTACTCCTTCTAGTGAATCAACAGAAGCAGAAGTTACAAGCTTTTTACTCAAGCAACTGCACGATTCAAAACCCACCAAGCCTCCATATGCAGCATGTTATCACATGAGGTAGATAGATGTAATGTTCTTGTTTTACATCCCAAACAAAAAAGAACTTGCCGGCTCCAGTTTTTAATCTAGTAAAGATTCGACATTATTTTCAAATTTCGCGGGCTTTTAGAACGCATTACGTGTAACAAACTTAATACGAATGTAAAGTGAAATTTACGCCATTCCTACAAAGAAGCAAAAGACTAACCAAAAATGAACAGTGTGAATTAGCATTTTCCTTGAAGCACGTCGAGAATGGTCAATTTTTTTCAGATGCAGTTTTGTTGTACGTCTACCTTTATATAAAATTGAAATTGTTTTCGTTTTTGTTTATCATATCAATATATCATCACCTTTTCAAAATCAGGCAAGAATGTAGCAATATTAAAAAAAAATTTCCAAACAACAACTTGGCACATTAACAGAAATAGTACATCATTACAATATTTTAGGTCATAATATAACCATGTAAGACACTACAGAACAGTACAGTTTTGTTCAGGCAAAAAGGAAAACTGATCAGAATTTCTGAAAATATTTGAACTGTGCATTTTTTCCTGTTGAAACTAAATTGGTCCTGAAGATACTGAATTGATCCATTGCTGAAAAGTTTTTCTTCCCAAAAATATTACAACCAGAAGAGTCCAAGTAGAACTACTAAATGGCCATATGCATGATGAGTGCATCAGCATATGACTGATAAAAACTAATTTCTATCATTTGAGGTGGAAATAAAGTTTGCCGGAGAACTTCTCTCTGAAGAGATCACGAGTGACCTTCACAAAAATTACTTAAAACAGGAAAAAAAATCATGAGAAAAAAAAAAGGAAAAGAGAAAAAGAAATCAGTCAAAGCAGAGGTTACCGGCATCAATCTTGTAATCCGTCACACCAATTTCTGTTCTGTGGACCTCAGGATTGACGATGACCTCCACGATGGGGAGCAGTTGCATGTTTTGGGTATTGAAACTGAAGACTGATCTCTTCCATCTCCTCTCTGGAGTCTGCAATCAAGAGGATGAAGAATCTCGAAGTCTGGAGCTGACAGATTTTTTTTTGGGGGGGGGGCGGTGGCAGGAGGGGGGTAACACTGTAACACCGAGGCAGTTTTCTGGAAGTCAGTGTTGTGTTCTAGGTCTTAGGGAAGGGAGATAGTAATTCGATGCGCTGTCATTTTTGCAATCTTGAGGTGGGGTAGAGAGGGAGTTGAGGAGGGTGTGCAGAGGGAGCGCAGGATGATAAAAGTGCCAGGAAAATATTCGTGCGAGTAGAACGGTTATAGGAGAGGGAACTAAACTTGTGTTCTATATAATAACCACTTGCTGCCGGGGAACCCCGTTTCAAGCACCATGAGTTAATATGCAGAGCTGGAGTGCCCAAAATGGGACAAAAGAGCTGGTCCGTGTAACAAAAGACCATACTCCGAACAAAAGACCTGCTCCTGGGAACTGCTATCATTTTTCGGCTTGCTGAAGGTAATCTGTCTCCGTTTTTAACCAGTATACCACTGTTTTGGGCATAGCGTGCCCACGGATTAGCACCACGGACAACAGTGCTCTAGGGCCCATTGATGAGCGACACAGCACTGCTGCATGCTAATCCAGCCGCGTTTGAGAAAACACCCATTCACTAGGGACAAAGGAAATTACGCAACACCTCACAATTCAAGGCTCTCTTTACAGGGCGGCAGGACTGGCTGAAATACTCAGGAGTCAATGACGGTTGCCTGTCAGCTTAGAGTTGCCACTAAACAGTCATTCTTGTGGGTGTAAACGTCCCTTAAATGAAATGATGAATTTTTGAAGAATTTTGAAAACTGAAAATCTTGAAAATCTCCCGTATGTGTGCACTGCATTTATAAAAGCACCCGGCAGCGAGTGGTTAAGGAAACAGTGTTTTCTTGTTCCACAATATAAAACCTTCAGTACAACCTATGGCTGGCTGTCAGTATGCTGACCTGAGATCACGACCCCTTACGAGTCCGCAACCCACCTTGCACCCGTCTTTGATGATCGTGGGCTCGTGGTCCCCACCTCGTCGGAAGACCACGCCATTCCAGCCCACAAAGCTGATGCTGTTAGCGGGGTCGCCGGTGGGCGACTCCCAGACAGACACATTAAAGCAGTGGATGGTGATCTCCTGGCTGGCCTCCGTGCTCAGCAGATGAAGGAATTTGAGCTGGGGGAGGGTCAGGCCAAACTCCAGCTATTTTGCCACAGGGAAACCAAAATATGGAGAGTACCTTTACAAGTTAACATGAAGTAGATGTTAATATTCTAAACTTAAGGGAACGGGCGAATATTCTTGATTTGAGGTCGCTGGGGTTTTTTAAGTAGGCAACCAACAGAGAAATGTGTAAAAATGCAGCCCAAGAAAATGTACAGCATTCTACAGTTTGCAGAGCCATACATGGCAATAAAGAGAGGGAAATCAGTGGATCTGTGGAAAAATTCTAAGGCTCTTTAAATTGAGGCATTGAACTATTAAATGATGTTAGAGCTCCTGATCAAAACCAGGCCATGTTTTCTCCTAAAATTACCAAACACTATCCGGGAACAACTGATTCCTGAAGTGAGGTTGACAAAGTACAGCTTTCTTCACCTTTCAATTATGGTGGATGCCTGTTTGAATCACACCTGGTGATGACGGCATGAAGTCTGTGATTTCCCCTCCCACATCTCCGAATACTGCCTCGTTTAACATCCCTTAAAAGATCTATGGCTTAAACTGTTCTGCCCTTGTAGTTTTTTAACTTTAATGTGTCTTCGATTCACCAGCAGACAAAATACAAATGACGGGATTATGGGCGTGGCTTACCAGTGAGGAATCTGGAGGGATGAGGCAGGACTTTGCCCCCAGCTCAGTGTACTCACACTGCACCTGCAAGGCATCCGAAGAGCAGCCCATGTCCGGATCAATCCAGAACAGACCTGCTCGGACAGTCACAAAACAGAACAAGAGTCGAGAATCGCTTGAGTAAAGACTTAAAATACAAGCTGCGACATTCAACCAAAAGACGAGCCAAAACATGCCATGGATTCTTATAGGTTGGCAGAACTGCAAGACCCAATTCACAAGCAAATTTCAGAGACAGGCCTTCTCTTAGAGAGTTCTTCTTTCACCACGAGGGTGTGCTGGGAAAGACAGCATCGACTGGGCTTGCAATACGATCTCCAAAACGAGACCTAAGGCCTCAGCTACAGGTTTCAGAGGAAGGAGAATTACATTGCCCAGTGACAACGGTGTTCACTTCTATGCAATTCTTGTTTGGCTCGTCAATTTCTTCTCAAAAGCTCTCGCACAAGCCCTGCGCACAGGTGCTTTTTAAATAACACTGGTAGAGGGAGACATTGGGTATAAAAATCGAAGAACTTAAATTCCATTGATATCATTCAGCTAAGCTCCTACCTTCACTAATGTCTTCATGGCAGCCTATGAGGTCCCTACATGTCCTGCAAGGCATGTCTTTAGTCCCAAGAGGATGCTTGATGTCGTCAATGTACTTGACAAGGTATTTCATCATGTAGAAGACGTCAACATCCTATGATAATGCACAATGAATTGAAAAGCAAACTGCTACAACATCCAAACATCAGTGCTTGATGTAATCCAAGGTACGTCAAGCTTGGTAAATCTGGAGCAACCTACAGGACCATTTCCTGGTGTGTAAATAATGACTTCTGAGAAATAAGGCCCACTTTATTGTAACTGTGCTTCACGTGAATGATGCCACGAGGAAACTGGGTAAAGACAGACAAATGCCATGATGAAACGCAAGTGTAAAGCTACCTTGGGAGAGGTAAAAAAGCTTTCCGATCTTTTAAGGGTTGTTTTATTAAGATCAGACTTCCAATAGAGATTGCACTTCACAGTTTGTCAATGGTTCCTTGCCACCTTAAAGGAACCATTACTGAGTACCAACTGCAAGAGGTCTGATCTCCAAGACCCCTAAAAAAAGGCCGACTATTCATCCGGGAGTCTTCTCTCTCTGAACATACCCCAACTTCTTTCTTCCTTGGAACGCTGAAGAAATGATGGATGAGGTTGTGGATGCTCTCTGCGTCATTGACTGGAAACATTTTCTGGAAGAGGATGAGGAAACAGTGCATCAGTTCTTCCACATGGTCATGCTATTCAGTTCAGTACTTCACAATAGGGATGGATTCAACATTACAGATAACGTTTGCACTAAAGAATGACCCGCTTGACTTTGAAAAAAAAAATCAACTAAAAATGATCAATGAACAACTTACCGGTAATCCTGGTGGTCCCTGAAAAAATAAAAAACCCCCAAAAATTTAAAATGTTATATCTTGGATGAAAGACTTGCAAAAAATGATAGACCACATTGCATGTTTCACATCATGAAATAAATCATAGGTACATTGCAAGTTGTCACTTCGCTATGTAAGTGGACATGTTAATTTCAGCTAGTGGCTTTCTGTGCATGAATACTTCAGTACAGATGGTAAGGGAATCACCAGTTCTGTAGTCGAGTCCTTGCCATTGAGTCCACGTCCGAGTCCTTGCCATTTGAGTCTGATTCCAAATCCGAGTCCTTGTTTTCTGAGTCGAGTCCAAGTCTGAGTCTTTGTGTCTGAGTCCAAGTCCTTGTTTTCTGAGTCAAATCCAAGTCTGAGTCTTTGTGTCCGAGTCCGAGTCCTTTTATGATTCTCAAGTAGTGCTCTCATCGACACCAACATATTATCAGAATTCACAAATATGACACATCATGAAGATTTAAAAGGGCATTTTATAAAAAATTATAATTAAGAATGCTTTTCATTTGACCTTTATTAACCTTGACTGGCATAATGACACCTTCACTATATGTCTTAGAAAATAGCTTGAATATGTTTGATTAGTGTACAAAAGATAAAATATACTTTAAAAGGGGACAATTTAATATCACTGGACAGCAATCATTTGACCCCTTCTGGTAAGAGAAAAAAAGGTCAAAGATAGCTGTGTAGTGTGCAATTTGACTGAATTAGTAAAATGTTTCACCCTTGGTTGTTTTTACAAGGACTTAAGGCTTCCTAAGTGTAAAAATGTTAAAATCACAAATTCAAATTCTTTGTGGAAAAAAAAGTTGTTTGATGAAAAGCTGATTGGAGAGTGCTCAGACTACATCCAAATCGTGTGACCTAGCTAGTTCTATGCCTCTGCCCATACAAAGTGCACAAAGCCATGCTCACAATAGCCACAGCTGTAGATCTGAAAGCCCATTTCGGAAAAGGCCTCAGCATACTTCCCAATATTGGAGACAGAAAAGGCGTTTGTTTCTTCAGAAGTTTGAAGGGAAAGAAGATGTTAAGGTGCAGGGGTTGGGAGGCGTCCAGAGCAGGAAACATTTGCGGCTAAATTTAGTACATTCTTTGGAGTACAATGCAATAGTTTTTCAGATTAGGTAACAATGTAAAAATGTTTTTATAATGTGGAACTTGAGAGACAGAGGTGCGAATTGAATACAAAAGTTGTCAAAAGCAGTAGCTTTTATAGTCCAAAGCGGTGGAGTTGGCAAGTTTGCCTCAGTCCGTTCTTGTGAGTACACTCCAGCTTCGTATTGAGCTTCAGACGGCATTTTGCAAAAGATTTTCATTCAAATTCTAAAACATGCAATATTAGAAGATATATAGATGTGTGACAATGTTTCCAGGGTGTACAAAAAGCTTTGTACAATTTTCAAATTAAAGATTCATGCGTCATGCTTTTAACCATGCCAGTTTGGCATGGTAGACTTTTTAGTCTGGTTCCTTGGTTCTGACTCTTCTACTATATAATCAAGCTTCATTTGTGAGTCTTTCATCAGGGAACCGTTCCACAGCGTCCACGCACTGGTGCAAATTCAACCCTGCACAATACTCACAGACGTAGTTTTACTTACAAAGAGACAAGACGTGTACACTGTACATCCATGCCTACACCGTGCACTGAGTTTCCGTTCAAAACTCGTCTGAACTCAGGGTCCTCAAACTGGGCAACGCATGTAGTGCTAGCATTGCAGTGCAATGGAAGTGACTTTCGAAAAAGCATGAGACTTGTGTCTTTGTTCAATGAAATTACAATACAGGTTAAAATCTGGTGGTTGAGGGCTGAGTCCTTGAGATATCCGAGTCCTCATTCTTCGAGTCCAAGTCCGAGTCTTGTCTGTCCAAGTCCGAGTGCAAGTCCGAGTCCTTGAAAATAGGGACTTAAGTCCTCCAGCACTGGGAATCATAACACATGTTTGTACTTGAACATAAATTTACACACGTGTTAGCATGTCCCTAATTTTAGTTAGGCAAATTTTATAACTAAACCTATCCAATTGACTTACCGGTGGGCCAGACTCCCCCTGCACAGAGGAAACAAGACAGACATAAATCAGATTTAAGATGAAAATAAAGATGACACTTGAAGCACAAGGAACTTGCAGAATGTACGAAATCCGTTTTATATAAAAGAAACGACCAATGTAACGTGGAGAATGTAGTGACTTCCTAAGTTCTGATTTCTCATCCGCAAGACTCCACAAGCAAATAGTCTGATGCCCAAACTGTAATTCAAAGAAGCACCGAGTTTGAGCAGTTTTACCTCTGCGTTTATCTCTATTCCGTTTACGGACACAGCTAAAAAAATCATTAGCAATTGGCAATTAATTCTTACCTGTGGTCCTTTTGGCCCCAAGTCCCCTTTGCTTCCCTAAAAGAAGAAAATACAAATAAAGACAGAAAGTGAAACGAAAAAAAAACTCTTTGAACCAGAAGGTATTTCAAAGCTCTCAAGTTACTTCCATCTGGCTCTTCACGTAACTTACCATATCTCCAAACTCTCCCATGATGCCCACCATTCCTGGGAAGCCCTCTGGACCTTGGATGCCAGGAATCCCCTGAAGAATAAAGGACACCATCAAAATTCACAGTCAACTTTAACGTGCTATCCACTGAATCATGACCCAGAGGCTGGAGTGCGAAATGAATCAAGGCCTGATTGCCCTCTACGGCGTATAATGACATAAAACAGAGGACAAGTCGCATCAACGGTGTTCCCCCCGTGGTTAGAAATTTCTGCAAGTGGTTTCAACATCCAAAAACATATCATACTTGTGAATGGACATGGAAGCTGTAGTTTGTATGAAATGGCTGAACACTGTACTATGGCCTAGCTGGCCAACATGACGAAAGGTGAAAATTTGTTTTTTAAGAAAAATAAGAAGTAACAAGGCATTACCTCATCACCCTGGAATCCAGTTGGTCCAACAGGACCCATTATACTACGATCCCCTTGGTTACCCTAACAAAGAAAATTTAAAAAATAGTTTCATAGAATGACAAAAATGCAGCAAACAATGGCACTGCTAATCAGAATTACGACTGGTTTGTTAAAGTTATCAACAAGAATACAACTCAAACTTAGTGCAAATACAATGACAAAGTTTAAAACCAGATGACAATTAATATTGACTCCAGCATTCTCTTGTCATACGAATAGAAAAAAAAAACACTTTCAATTATTTTACGAAAATGTTCCACCTTTGAAAAGCAATTTTGAAGAAACATATGAATTCAGAGCAATGCTTACTTTGCTGCCTTTATAACCAGACAACCCTTGTAATCCTTGTTCACCGGCGGGTCCCTGGAGGTTAATAACCAAGCAGAAATAAAAAAAAATAAATAAACATAAATGAATACATATCAAAGATCAGTTCAATCCCACATCCAACCTTTACTGATTCACACCCAAACGAACACCCCAGTTATTAATAAAAAATCCCTCATATTTCCGTGCAATTTCCACTCGGTTGTTCAAGAACTTTAACTGAATCAGGACCATTCAACTTCACCAATATTAATGCACAGTGAGGGGGGTCTCCGACTTTTGATGAGTACAATTATAGTATGTTGCACTCCTTACAGATCAATCACATTGGTAATTCACAATTTCGATTTTGATGAAATTCAGTTATATTTAATTCAGTAAGATTTAATTTATCTAGTTATATTAAATTTATCTGGTAGGTAAAAATTAAATAAAGATTGCTACTGACGTCAAAAGCACGAGTTGAAGTCCTCCTTCACATCAGACAAATTGAAAACGAATGCGTCAGGGGCATCCAATACAAGCCTGTTTTGATGACGTTACACTACGGCTCTGCAATTATACGACTGTTTCATTATTTCGTGGTGAACGCACCCGCGTGCGCAAGCGCTGTACTTGCTAGCACTTAACTATGAATTAAAAGAGGTCTGAGAGTGAAAGCCACTTGGAATTGCTTGTCCATCAACAATGTTGATCCACTCTGGATCGAATGATAAAGTTGAACCGGATAGAGTATGGTCCCGATGAATTTTGGGCAGATGACCATGGGCATTTGCAAAGAACGACATCTAACTTAATTTACCCACTTTTTTCTTTATTCTCGTGCTAGAAAACCCCTATTACAGCCACAAAGTCAAGAAACTCGGGGGGCATGAGAGCCGTACTATGACATCATCAAACCACTACATTTGTTTGCTGCCCTCATCCACGCATTTCTTTCACTCGTAGAATTCTTGTGGTGAAACTGAACTCCCGAAATGACAATTTTTTTTTCATAAATGGGCAACAATGACCAATTCCCTGTTAAATAATCATTTTATGCCAAAGCAGCGTGATTGATCTTTAAGTGAAGTGTTGAATCCTTGAAAGATCCAGCGAAATTCCTTGCCAAAAAAAAAACGGGTAAGAACTAAGCTACGGAGACTAACTAGAGACGGCGCAGATAACCTATATGGAACGTTAACCTTTTCAGTCAATTTGCCTCACCTTACTACCCGGCTGGCCTGGCGTTCCAATAGGTCCCCTTGGCCCTACGAGTCCAGCCTCTCCCGAGGGGCCGGACAGACCTCCCTGACCGATGATGCCACGTGGACCCTGGAAAGCACAAGAGTTAGATGCACATTTGTTTTCTGACGGAAAAACGTCAAGAACATGAGCTACAAAAATTGACTGAAGTAATGAAATGATCTATTCAACAAGGACACTGCGCACTACAATGTCAAAGTGCCAATGCTGTGGTCGTATTACATTCACGCCCACGTTCTTAAACTTTTGAGGCATTCGTAAATTTCAGTCGGTCATGTCATCTTTACAAGTCAAGGAAGTGTTTTATGCCTGTGCAGCATCTGGGCATGATTGTGGCACTGAGGGCTGTTTCGAATACTTCAAGTATGTGACCACCAACTAAATATTTGAATAGCAGTTCACCAGTTTGAATATTCAAGGCATGTGTAAAAACATTGGGTAAGTTTCAAATTATCAAGTACTAACTTATGACAAAATGGACGGGCTTAACAATAATGGCCTCTAATTCTGAGCGGTTGCAAAATGTCTCTACCTTGTCTCCTGGTGGACCCCTGTCTCCTTGCAGGCCTGGTGGGCCTACTGGACCCTGGCAACAAAGGATAACAGCCATAGTTTCACACTTCAACCACTCTCGTTTTAATCATCATTTGAAATTTGAAGTACATTATGCGAGTGAGATAGGAGGGACCTTTTCCTCAAGAAGACCCAGCTGTGGTGCATTTCGGTTGAGAGGAGCATTTCTGTTTGTATCAACTTTAAATTATGGTCTCACACACGGCCCCATGCAAATCTATGGTGTTAAGGTAATTCCAGAAATTAGGGGTCCAAAAGTGTGACATTTTGGTGTCCCTGTTACATCTGACCTTTGTTATTTGACATGGAAGTATCACCGAAACTGATTTGAAACTATAACTATTTTGTTTGGCAGGTAATTTGCATTAATTAATCAGTCTTGGAAATTAGAAAATGTATTCTGAACTTAAAAAATCATGTCAGATGTGACAGGGCAGGGACATGAAAAAAAAATGGACCCCTGATTTCTGGAATCAGCCACATGGTAAAGCTTGCTTCACACCTGTCGTATCCAAAGCGTGAAATATCTCCATCCCCTTATTATTCTAGGTATTTCTCTTCCGAATCTGAAGAGGAAGGTGCCCTGTCAGTTGTCTTACCTGAATCCCCACTGGGCCATGCTCGCCTGGTGCTCCAGCATTGCCTTCATTGCCCTACATTTACACAAAAAAGTAGAGAAGGACAGACTCTATACTTCCCTCAAAAATTGCGAAGGATAGAATACAGGCATGGTGCCTGATCCCTGAGGTCGAGTTCCAAGACATCTGTACCTTAAGCAAGTGCTCATCAGTTGGAGTCCCAAATTTGTAAAGTTTTAAGAACCCAAAATCTAAAAGTCGTTCTCATGAGTTCCGAGCAAAACTGTGCAGCATATCAACAGGACATCGCTGGACAAAATACAATGTTATCAAGAGGCATCCCGATTCAGAGCTACATCGAGAGGGGTTTCACCTTTTCACCTGGAGTTCCTGGAATTCCTGCCAGCCCTGCTGTACCTATCTGCCCCTGCAGAAGAAAATGAACTTTTCCTTTTAAATATTTCAGTCTAAAAAGGAGAAATGGTTCAAAGTGCTCAACGAAGCAGGTTAATGTCCGTGGATAAAACAAAATCCACAAACAAAAATCGCTGTAAATGCAGTCATTTGTTCTTGATTCAAGAAGGATATTGAGAATACATAAACTGACAAGATGAACTTCAACTGAAACAACATGCAGGGTTTAATTTAAAATTTATTTTACTAATGGACAGTAACCTTTTATGAACCCTCCTTCACTCATAAAGAGTTACTTAAATATTTGAAGGATCTCTTTTTTACCTCAATATATGTTAGATCTATCTCATCAACTCCACATAGTGCACAGACTGCTAATCTCACATAGCTGTTGTACGCACAAAATGTTGCTTTGGGAATTTATGAACTAAGCGCGAGTTATCTGAGGGCAGTTGCAAGCGATACATGGGATATGACATTTTGGCTGGTAGCCTGCCTCCTTTTTGGCTTATGAACAGTTCAGAGGATCTTACCTCCTGCCCCTCTCTTCCCTCACTGCCTTGAGTCCCAGCCAGCCCTGTTGATCCCTGCCGATCAAAAAAAAAAACCCCAAAATGAAACTCTTCAGCTAACTTGGACAAATTTATTGGAGGACTACTGCAGGGGAGAAGGGATCATGTGGACAGACAGACTGGTGCTTGTACCTCCTAAAGTCGTTAATTTTTGTTTTTACATCTAAATACACACCAACAGCGCCACACACAAGATTTACATGGTTGGCAAGCCTTCAACGTGTTTAGAAACGGCAAAAAGAATGAAAACAATAAAGGAGCCAGCACCCTCAGTTGCATTGGAACAGTAACGACAACCACGCACGATGCAAGGGTAACCAATGTGGCATCTGATAAAGAACTCATGGATATTTTACATGAAAATGAGCCTCTCTGTTGAATTTACTAAGTGAGATGTCTGGTCGCTAACCAAACACTACAGTACAGTAATGGTGGTTGATCTCAGGGGAAACGTGTGGGCAGATAGTACTCTGATGCCTTCTGATTTGTCTCTGTTAAAAATGCCAGAGGCCATGCTATCTTCATGAGGGTACGAGATACTTACTGGCTCACCATCCAGTCCCCTCTTTCCATCAAGTCCGGGCTGGCCGGCTGACCCAGGAGTCCCCAGTGATCCTGGACTGCCTGGCAAACCTTGTGATCCTTGGTGGCCCTGGCCAAAACAAAATAAAGGTTGCATTCAGAAATCCCAAGACATCAATATTCTAGTACGTGAAACAAGACGTCACAAAGAAGATTTGTGATTGTGCACTGTTTTCGCATACTTCTCATTCTTCACTTCTCAATGTTTTATGCCTTGTCAAAGTTTGACAACACTGGCTATGAACAGTATTAGCCTTTTAACATTATCCCAACAGGGGGGGAAGTAAAAAATTGACAAAGTTCCTTTTTTCTACTAGCAGCAATTTGCCCGCACTACCTAAACTGGAAAGTTTGGATAAAGAACAAGACGATTTATTCTTCTTGAGGTGAAAAGGACATTTAAGGTCAAATGAAATCGGTAATGAGTTTGTGAAAGAGGTAGTGATTCCCTGAGGTCAATTTTTTCAGAATGCACAAATGTTGTTGCAGGTCATTTATAGAACTCACCGGATCTCCCTGTTTTCCATATGGGCCCATAGGACCTGGGACTCCAACGTCTCCCTGGAGTGAAAAACAGCAAATGAGAAATCAGTGTTCTAAACATTGATTTACTCTTCCTCTTTACACAGGGGCAACCTGTACAGTTGCTGGATGGAGAACTTCATGCATTATTATTGTGGGCTCACACCCTCTTATCCAGTGATTCACCATCGCCTTACTTTAGGACTGACATGATTTTGATATGTTTCAATTTATACTTGATGGCCTCGCAAAGTGACACGATGCCTGCTGGCAATGCTTTGCTCAAAAAAAAGAGGAGATAATGTAAATTTTGAGATGACCTTCAAGTAGATACCTACCTCTTGTCCCATCTCACCCTCCTCTCCTTTGTCTCCAGGAGGTCCCTGCGGTCCCTGCAGGAACAACAAAGTAGGAGATTATGGACCAAAAAAAGAAGTACCTGACACTTTGGAGAAACTTTAGCACATGCGAGGGTGAAGCATTGCACACCAAAATAACGGGTGCAGTTGTGGAAAGGAGAGAATGCAATGCTTTCCATTACTCCAACTGAGCTTCATTGTGATGGACTGATACTCACTACTGTGCCAGAATCTCCGTCTCGGCCGGCACTTCCTTTGTCTCCTGAAAAACCCTGCAGAAAATGTCGTATTTTTGTGAATTTGATGAGCAAATTTCGAAGAACAAATACTTGTGGTGTAATACCTACGGATATGACGGTCTGCAGGTTGACCAAAAAACCCTGCGACGCGCCTTACGGAGACAGGGGGCCGTGGACTGCTAGATTTGCTCCTTGTCTTTGAATGTTACACACGGACATTTGATAGCAGAGAGCTTTTCCAACCTTAAAGATACTGAGAAACATTTACCCAGCATGCTCTGTTGTTTGTGAAGTTCTTTCTTACCTTCTTGCCTGGATGTCCTTTGGGTCCGTGGATCCCTATTGGCCCCTGGTTGCCCTGTTTTTCAATGACAGGTCCATGTTAATGGTTTCAATTTTTCGAGGCGAAATGTTCAGTGTAAAAACACAAGTTACTTTCAAAAATTCTCTTTGTCTATAAAAATGGATAAGAAATCTTGTACTTACAGTTGGACCTACTGGCCCGGCCTGTCCGTCTGGACCAGGTACCCCAGGTGGTCCCTTAGGAGATGAACAAGAAAATCACAACAGAATTGTGGTCTTAAATTCCGATTCCAAGTCAGAATTTCCTACAGGAGAAATTTGCTGAAAGCCATCCTGATTAAAGATTCAATAATAGTCACTTAAGTGCTGCACCAGTTCACAAGTGTAAATGGCACAGAATATGCCCAACCAATATTCAACTGAATGTGCGCAGCCCGTTTTCAACTGTATGACCACAACCAACATTCAACTGCATGTACGCGCCAACTTTCAAGTAAATGTGCAAAACCAATTTTCAAG